GAAAATCAGCATAGGCCACAGCAAAAAACATTATTCAAACCATCCCTCACACATTTCATGTGATCGTACTGGTATAATCAGCAGAAAATTATAACCGTAACACGTGAACACATAACTTTCCCTAAACAATACACAAAACTAAATAATAAATATTCTTCTAGTATCTTCTTTTCGTTAACAATACACGCTAAAACCTTTTATTGTTCTATTTTAACAACCATTCACCAATTTATTAATCACTTTGAATAAAATAATCGGAAAATTATACCATTCACGACATACACAACATACTTTAATACCAATTATAAAAAAAACATTAAACCCATTTAATAATATATTTATAAATCAAACGTCAAATAAAAACATAATATAACAAAAATAAACAATATATGCAAAACTATCTCTCCTCATTTACACCTTTAACCATGTCAGCTCGACTTCTCGTATTATGCACTACAAATTGCGTCACCTTCTCTTTACCCTTATTCTGTTTTTCAGAACCACGAATTGCTCCTTTAGTTTCATCCAAAACACCACTTTCATCCTCAACACCGTTAACTAAACATTCCTTATTACACTCAACAATTTGTTCACGAACACCATAATCAAAATCAGCATTCTTAACATAACAATCTTCGTCATCGACATCTTCCACCCTAACATGTCTTGAACAAGAAGCATTAGTAACTGAATCTCCCAAACATTTATCGACCTCAGCCGAAGATACCAAAGAAGACTTTTCATTAGCGTTTTGATGTGCAGTTAAAAGCCTTGCCCGAACAGATCTATAAACTTCAGATGTAACTTGAGAACTACTCGAACTAGAAATTTTTCTTTTAACTGTAGAAGAAACCTCAACGAAAGAAGTATCAGCAGCATATACATATAAATCTTCCTTAATATGTCCAACAACAAAAAGCACCGATTCGTTTGAACGAATAGAATTCATTAAATACTTAAACCGACTGTTGCTGAATGGAAAAACGATCTTAATAGTAAAACTATAATTCTTGCCGGCATAATCATTTACTAGTAATTTAAACATTGCACTTTCACTATCAATTTCCTTAGGAAGATCTTCGACAACACAAACGCTATAATATTCACCTTTCACAAAAACCGATTGAATGTTGGGATCGTTAACTGGAACAAAAAGAACGACTTCCATTTCACGATCTTCACTATCAATAGGATAAACACATAATGCCCACACAACAGCAAAATTTGATTCATCTCTATCAGTTTGTCGAACTTGAGACACTTTTACAATGGTATCAATACAACACGGCATCGTAAACATAAAGAATAGATAAATAATCAAACACTTTATATAAGTTTTGATATAATTACCGATTAATTTCCCACACGTAAATATACCTAAAATGACTTAATTAGAAAAAAAAATAAAAAACTCCCAAAATTAATACAAAAAGAACCTAACCTTCCTACTTGAATAAATAAAGCTCTCAACGAAATACCTAAAAACAAACACATAATATTCCCACACACCATACCTTCCAAATACTAATAACAATCAATAACACAAATACAACAAAAAAAAAACTCACGCGAACAAATATATAATAAAACAAACTAAAATAAAAACTTAAACACCCTTACATAATAATAAATAAATATTCGACTAA